AATGTTTGGCTGAGGTTAAGTGTTGGTTGGCTAATAATTTTCTTTTTTTTATTTAATTTGGTAAAAAGGGATGTGTGGATGATGTCACTGACTGTCTGAGGTTACTTCCTGGGAAAAATCTTTCTAGATTGAAAAACCTTGGTGTCATTTTTGACTCTGAGCTCAAATTTGATCGTCAAATTAATGCCGTTGTTAAAAATAGTTTTTTCCATCCTAGATCTATATCTAAGTTGAAGTCTATCCTTTCTTTTGAGGACTTGGAGAAAGTTGTGCATGCTTTTGTGTCATCTCGTTTGGATTATTGTAATGCATTGTATCTGGGTGTGAGTCAGGCCTCTCTCTCCCGCCTGCAGCTCGTTCAGAATTCAGAGGCTAGGCTTTTAATGGGTACCAAGAAGAGAGAGCATATTACTCCTGTGCTTATTAAATTACACTGGCTTCCTGTACGATACAGGATTCATTATAAAGTGCTATTATATGTTTTTAAAGCTTTGCATGGTTTAGCACCAGAGTATATTTCTGATTTAATCAGTTTGCATCAATCCAATAGGTCTTTGCGTTCTAATGATCAATTACATCTGATGGTTCCTCGATCTCATTTAAAATGCAAAGGTGATCAGGCCTTTTCTGTTGCTGCTCCAAGGCTTTGGAATGACCTTCCTCTGTCTGTAAAATCTTCTCCTACACTTCCTGTATTTCAGAGTGCGCTTAAAACTCATTTGTTTTCATTAGCATTTAAAAATGTTTTGAAATGTGTTCGTTGTTGTTGTTGTGGTATATGTTTATAATGTTTTATGCTTGATTTTATTTTTATATTTTTATTTAGTCTTCTTGTACAGCACTTTGGTCTCCACATCGTGGTCTTGAAAGTGCTTTATACATAAATAAAGTTGAAGTTGAAGTAATGGTTTAATATTATATTTATAGCATTTATATATTTAGCTCAGAACATGAAGATGCCTAAATATTATAGTTTTGTAGTATAATTATAGTTTTGTTGTTCCAGCCCCACCAAACGCTGGTATGATGTGTCCTGATCATCAAGGAGAAGGTACTGGATGAATATTCGGAATAATACCAGAATCCACAGTCTTGTGATGCAGCCTGGAATTAAACTACACCATGCTGGTTCGTCTGGCCAATCCCCCAATGAGTTTGGGTTCCTTGCCATTGTCACCTTTTGGCTTGCTTAGTTTGGGACACTTAATATTTGGCAAATTATTGACATGATTGCACATACACTATTGGATGAGAACTGAGCTGGATGATGACATCACTAAATCAATGATGAACTGACTTATAAACTGGACTGTTTACTATTGTCCTCTTTTTAGAGCTGCTTTATGGCAGAATTTAATTTTGTTTGCCTCACAACTTTATTTTTCTGTTTAACTCTGTAAAGCTGCTTTGACACAATCTGTATTGTTTAAAGCGCTATAGAAATAAAGGTGACTTGACTTGACTTTCGTTTTGTTGTTTTTAAATAGGCCATTTACATGACATGTCAAGTTTTCCATGCAGTGTACTGCAGTGTAGGGTTAGTAACCGTAAAGGGGCGAATGAGACGTGAGACGTGCGGATCCATATGCAAGGCTTTATTTCCAAGACTTAGTCATATAACAGGCATGGGTCAAACAATGGCAAACAGGTATAACGTGGGCAAGACACAAAAGTAGTCCAGTAAACGGGCGTGGTCGATCTCCGGCGAACAATGTCCAAACAGGGTAATCCAAAGGGGTAATCCGAAACACAAGCGATAGTCCAGGCGAGAGGTAAACAGTATCCGAACAGGGCGAGATGAGAGGGGAAATCCAAGACAAATCCAAGAAATTATTCAGGGCAGGCAGAGAACAGGCGAAACTAGAAAACAGGCTAGAGTACAAACACGGAAAAACAGACTAAGAACAAGACTAAGGCTAGACTCAGAAAACTTGGAATGGCTCCGTAGAGTAGCTATCGCTGGAATAGTGATACGTGCTAAACAATACTCTGCAGTGAGAGAGAGGAAGTCCATGGCTTATGTAGGGTGTGTGATTGGCAGCAGCTGTGTGTCTAATCAGTGCAATGGATGCTGGGATATGTAGTCCGGGATGACATGCAACAGTTTGTGTAGTGTGAGAGTCAATGTAACGAAAGGGTGACCTCTGGTGGCAATTGGACGGAAGTCCATGGACAGGATTCGTGACAGTATCATTAGCTAAAATATTTTCATATATACAAAATGAAATAAACTTAACTGAAATAAAATAAAACATAAAAATATGTAAACTTATTTTATTTCAGATAGTTGCCAAGGCCATATTTCTCATTTTCGTTTAAGTACTAGATGCCATATGGCCTGGCCAAGTTCCCTTCATTGGCTCTTATCAATTATGGCCTCCTAATAATCTCTATCTCTACTCTCTCTCCACTTGTGCAGCATCCAGTTGTGGATGCCGCACAATTGTTGGTGAGTGAGACCTCCTGATATGACTGTGCGCTTTGGGTGTATACTAGTACATGAGAAAAGCGCTATATAAATGCTACATTCATTCAAGTACTAAAATAACTCAATCTAAATAAACTAGAACTTAAGAAAAACTATACTGACTTATTTAAAGAAAACATGAATAAAAATGACAAAAACATGACAAAACTACTAAAACTTTAAAATTAAAACAAAAAATATTAAAATCTCACTCTATCAGTTTATAACAACTTGTATATATTGTTGTATATCATACATTCAGTTTTATGGCCTTATATTAATTAGGACACTATACAAAATTATTGTACTTTTTTAAACAATGTTTTTTAATCGTTAACAGGAATAAAGATTTTTCAAATACAACAAAATTACAAAAAAAGGGATTAATTAACTATAAAATTTGTTCATAGAATAAATACTAAAAATATATGTATATTTTGGGACCTAAAAATTAAAATAGTATACTGTTTTATATATATATATATATATATATATATGTGTGTGTGTGTGTGTGTGTGTGTGTGTGTGTGTGCGTGTGTGTGTGTGTTAGTAAAACCTGAAATTTTTGACATTGTGGGGACCGGCCTGCAGTCCCCACGAAGGGAAAAAAATTATTTAAAAAAGTAAATGCTGTTTATCTGAAAGTGTAACAATGCAAACAGGTTTTCTGTAAGGGGTAGGTTTAGGGTTACGGGATAAAAAATATTGATTGGTCAGTATAATAGAAACCTATGGAAAGTCCCCACAATTCACAGAAACAAACGTGTGTGTGTGTGTGTACTGTATATATAACAGCATGAAACAGACACATTGAATACTACACTTTACAAGTAACTACACACTTCGATTACAAATATTTGTACATAAAAAAAAAAATAAAAAAAACATTTGTCACCCCACAGAGCTACTGATTAAAGTGGTTAAAAGCATTAAAAATGGTGAAAAACAAAAGAACCACTTTTAGGACCTAAAACATACACTTTGGCTTATGCATTTATACATTTTCATTTAAAATCTTTCATGAGAAAGGTTCATACCCATGTTATTCCCCAGCTACCCAAATTCACTGGTACATTATAATCCAAACTGCCTTTTATTCAAGGCCCGTATCACTACCAGTGTTGTGCTAATTACAAAGCCACCATAAGTGAGGCTTGAAAACACTCCATGCTGCCATCTTACATGACACAAAGGATGAGGCACAGAACACCCTGTGCTTGGCCGAACACGGAGTGCGCTTTAGTCGTCACACTTTTCCCAAACGCCTTGCAGCTGCTCCTATTGTGGTCTCCGAAGGGCTTGAGCAGAGCCCATGCTCCTCTGACCACCCCTCCTGCTGTCTGACAGCCCTTAAATGCGCTCACTGAGACCCCCGTGCTGGAACAATTGCAAACACTGATTCTATGCAGTGTGACCACAAGGCATTCCCAGTGCAGGATTCCAATGCACACGCGAACACAGGTCAGAATGCCCCAACATGTCATGGTCAGGGTGAAAAGGGGATTGTTCAGATATTTTCCCAGCCATATTTGAAACGTTCACACGGGCCTGAATTCCAGTTCAAACAATAAAGTCAGCTGCATTTGTTTGTCTAGTGACCCCTCTTTAAGAACAGAAGGTGCTCATCTGTCTGGATACTGAAACATGCAGTGGCTCCAAAAAAAAAAGTATTTGGACACTTTAGTCACTTAAAGATGTGTTAATGTCACTGCATTGGATCACAAACTACATCTGTAGATTATGGTTTGTGTTATCCATTTGAACTTAAAAGCACTTCTTTGCAATTCTGTGTAAACCAAAATCTTATCTTCAAGTCTAATTCTTTCTCAATCATATCTATGCTAAAATGTCAATGGCAACCTTGTTTACTTGTCATATTAACATCGTTTCGGGTGGTATGATCAGTGGACAGCACTAAATATAAATGTAAACATTCCAAATTTTTTATTTTTTATTTTATTTTAACCATTACACTAAAACAAGGGTTTTTAATTTTGTCACTTGAAAAGCCTAAACGTATGTGCATTGGAGTCTTTTGGTTTGCCTCATATAAACTGAAATGACCCAAAACATATGTGCTCCAGGAGAATGTTCTTTATTTTCTCGTGTTTTATGCCAGATTTTGCTGTTGTACTTGCTTGTACAGTCTATATTTGTATAGTATTTTCCCTATCGTGTGTCTTTACTTGACTTTAGGGCTCAACAAGTAGGATAAGCTCAATGTGTTTTAATACCTTCCAAATGTAAACATTTGATTTTCAATAATGTATTAAACATCATTGTTAAAAAAAATTTAATTTGTAATTAGTAATTTACTTTTGAAATAAAGGAGTATGTTTGCTGTGGTATTGGAATCCTTAAAGGTCACTGGTATTGCTATCAAATACTGAAATGCTGGGACAACCCCACTTGGACGCATTATTGTAAAGTGTTAATGCCCTGACAATAACTGCAAATTAAACATGTAACGCAACTTAAATTTGCAACTCCAGTATATATACGGTCATGGAATTACTGCACATAAGACTGCATGTATGAAAAAAAATGTTTATTGTCAGCAACAAGTATTACAAATATATGAAAAAGTATAGCATAAGAAATATATTAATTTCGTCAATAAATAGTCACACATATTAAAAAACAGCCTCGCAAGAGTCACTCCTGTTAGTAGTGCTTATGGAGGGACTCTTAATGGACTGACAACAGTACAGACACATGAGGTATTCGGTGTTTGTTTATGGACAAACGAACATTTTGATGAATTGGATTGCATTCTAAAAAAGCATGACAGGCTCATTGTTTCAACTTCCATTGTCTTAAGGCAGAGCCTACACGGAACTACATTCACAGTTCAAAAACAAAATTAGCACCTTCACGTCTAACAACTTCCCATCTCCCCATACTACTCTCCTAATAAAAAAATAATAATGATAGTAACATCGTCAACATAAAGGAAAACAATCCCTGAGCAACCTGTAAGACACGGGGCTTCTTTCGATGCTAAGAGAGAACCAAAAACCTGATTATCAATAGTCAGAGACTCAACAAATTCAAAAATAAAATAAAATAAAAAGGAGAGATTCTCACAGAGGTGAAACGGAGGGTTTCAAATTGGTTTGTGTCACATCAAATTTTCAAAGGTTTTAAGTCAAGTATGGACCACAGTGTTAAAATGCTAAAACAGTCTGGGGGAGCTAGGCTTCATCAGCCATTGTCTTCAACACACAATTTTGAGCAATCGTGGAATATTGGTGGCAACACAGGAACTAAAAGTTCCTGAGCCTTAATACTGGAAAGATCACCTCAGGGATCATACAGTCATCATATAAATAAAACTCTCCCCTGTCAAGAGGTGAGAAAACGAATCAGACCACTTTAAAGAGTCCGTCTCAGCAGGAGGGCGAGGTAGTGATGGGACTCTGCAGGAAGGAAAGAGGGCTGGCCGCTGTGTGGATGGGGAAATTGAACACTGTGGTGCTTTTGCTAATGGCGGGGCTTCCTGCCTCCGAGGAACACGTAGAGGAGGCGAGCACTTGGGATTCGAATTGCAGAAGCTGTCCCATGAAGCTAAAGTTGGGCGAGATGATGCTGCGGCGCTGTTTGACAAACTCAAAGGCCTCTTCAAGTTTGACGCGGTTGGTGCGCATCAGATAAGCCAAACAGATGGTAGCAGAGCGCGAAATACCCGCCTGGCAGTGAACGAAGACGTGTCCACCTTTATTCCGTACAGAATCTGTGGGGAAAGAAAAAAAAGTAGCATGTTGGTTAAAACTTAATTAAACCAGCTCAACCCTATTAGGAACCCAAAAGCAGTTTCAACAACTTCTCTAAACACACATTCAATTGCAAATTATACTCTGTAGGTTTGCTAATCAAGGAAGCCATCTCATTAAAGAAACTGGAAAAGCTAAACCAGGCAGGGGTTCGATTAAGAGGGGAAACACCCCCCAGACAGGCCTGAATACACAATGGGGGGTTGTGGCATCCCTGCTAAGTGCACTGATCTGATAGGAGGGCAACAGAAAACCAGAGACACTACCTTTTGTTCAGGCTAAACAAAGGATGCAAAGCATTCAGACGGAGCCAGTTGCCCCATGAAAAGATCAGGTCACAGCCTGGTGTTATTTGAAAAGGGGGCACCTCTTTAAACAGGATGAGAGGATGATGTAAACCTTAGTGGCTGTCAGGCCTGGGCCGTACAGCTGGTCGAAATGGAGGGAACTTTTGAAAAATTCAATTCAGACTTCAGCTGAATGGGGGTTGGGCTGGGAGTCTGCCTGCCTGCCAAAGCTGCTCATATAGTGACATCTGTTTCGTAAGAGAGGTTTGAATAATATCAGCGAAAAATGATACTCACCAATAAATTCGATAGCTTCATTGAACCAGGAACTGATGTTGGCTTTGTGGTTGTCCTCAACAGGAATACTCTTGTACTGATAGTGGTCTTCAAAGTGGTTGGGGCAGTTGGAAGAGACGTTAATAAGGGCTGTGATTCCCAACATGTCCAGCATGTCTTTTCTGGAGGCGTGATAAGCACTGCCTAAATATAGGAACGGCAAGATTTCAACAGGGCCACCCTAAAGAAAAAAACAAAGAAAATTAGTGGACAAGTTCACTTGCAATGAGTCAAAATCACTCTTATTTACAGCACAGCTGATTATTTAAAGAATATGTATGTAGGTTACCTGATCATACAGAGGGGTTGCACATGAGTTACAGGAGGAATCAGCAGGGTTTGAGTGGCGGCTAGAGCTCAGAGGCAAACTCAAGCCTTGTGGGGGAACTGGCTTTGTACACATTTCAGGAAACTCAGAGGAAAATGTCTCGAATCCACCTAAAAAGAGTCAAATAGAAACCATTATTTTTAACAAAAGTGGAATTTACAAGTGTCTAGTAGTTGACAACAGCTTTAGAAAACATTTGGTCGCACTTTTAAATACACAACCATTCACAGTAACTTACACGAGTTCAAACCTTATACTGGGAATGGTATTATAACAAAATAGCCCAAATTATAGTTCAAGAAGAATCTTTTCGTACCTTTAAGAAGGAATACACTTGCTCCACATGGATTGCGACACAAAGCGTTCACGGCGAGCATTAAAGTCCCGTCTTTCTTCACTTCTCCCATCTCCAGACTGCGGTCATCCAGGAACACAACACTCTGGTATTCCCCGGACAGAAGCCTGTTCCTGGAGTCCTCGTTGGGTACAATGTGCTCCAGTCCCAGGCCCCCTCTGGCCCTCCGGCGTACTATAGTACTGAAGCGCACATTACTGGAGCCCGATATATGAGACGAGCTGAAGGAGAAAAAAGAGCGACAGTCCAGAACCAGACAGTCCGGATCATCTCCCTCCAGCAGATCACGAAGCGAGGCCGAGTCGATGGTGGGCACTTCCATGATGACCATAGTAGAGAATGCAGCGAGATAAACGACACGAGACGAGACGGCGAGCTTGAAAACTTCTCTCTAAAGTCCTTTGTTCGAGAGTCTGACCCGATTATAGTCCGTTGAGCGGCGCTGAAATTTGAATCCTTTTGTTTTCAAGTAAAAAAAAATACCCCTACTTTGTTTCTTGTCGTTCTGATCTGAAAGGCGCTACGCGGCGGTTATATACTACTGACCTCCCCTGCTTTCGTTGAGAAGGATGACGTCAAACAAAAGCTCCGCCTTTCTTGGCCCGTGGCCCGCGTGAATTCGCACGTACGTCAGTGTGATTGAGCTTGGCTAACCAAGCCCACATTATCAGATCCTGTTAAAGCCAGTCGACCTCTAGACCAAGGCACTGGTAATCTAGTCCAGTTTCCGAGTGGTGTCACTAAATTTGAGTGTTAGTATTGATGGTGATGACAATTGATGTTGTTTTGTTGTTGGGATGATGGTTTTGGGGCTTTGAGTGACAAAATAGTTTTCCTCAGAAGTTGATCTTCGATCTTAGACCCATTTGTCAGCCAGGTCCATGTTTGGCCATTTTAAGATGATCAGCATTGGCCAATGTTTTGGCAGATTAACACATTTGGTAGTTCCCTCTCATGTCAATTCCAAACAAGGGTAGGGTATTTTATGTAAGGGTCTTAACATAAACATGTTTTAAAATATGTTCCAAATTGTTTTGGATATATGCTACCTACACATATGCAGGTTTAAAAGGATGGAATTTTAAAATACAGAGGAAGAATATGCGTGCATAATAAAGAATAAGCTTAAGTGTCCCACTTTACCGGTATTCGACAAACAGAATTTGCTCAAAAATGTTTGAGATCATATTGAGATCTCAGATTACTGGGGAGTTTTTCTGAGAAGAAAAATCTGAGACGCATGAGACTAAAGTAACATTCTAATCTCTTCATTTCATTTCGTTGTTGACTTTAGGGAAACAATCAAGATATTGATTGAAGATCTCAATTATTTATTTATTTATGTGAGGTTAGTAGCCTAACGCTTCATCATGTATGAAATTCAATAGCAATAATACAATAATAATTGTCAAAAATGAAAGAATGTTTAGGCTATAATATTTCCATGATATTATTGTTTTATGTGATTTTGTAAAAACTTTTCTCGTCAGATAAATAACTCGATAATTAGTGAACCTATCATTGTACTCATAAAAGTTTATACTTTGTTTTTATTGTACAGGAGTACATATTGTGCAATTCCGCGAGAGCAAAGGGAAACCGTAAAAGTTAATCACTGTATAGAAACTTGAGGTCTAGTCAATTTCCATCAGCTTGAAACACAAACCAAGCTCTATATGAGGCCATAGACCTATATTTTCAAGATAATCAACGTGTTTCGATCAAAAAGTCAGTGTACTTGGTACTGTAACTAGTTTGTCAGAGTTTGAATATTTTACACGGTACATCCATTACAAGTAATTGTCAAAAAAAAAACATTTCCTGTAATGGGATGTTTTGTTTTGCTGGTTAACCTGCTACCATACCACATTCCTCACAGCAGTGATGAAAAATGTGTTGCTATGGAACTGGAGTGCAGTGTATTCAAGTTTGTTCAGTGGGTCGGTTTAGACATTTTTCAACAAAAATATGCAAATCAAATACTTGTAGCTATATCAGTGAATATATGCTTTAGTTAAAAGTGTTATAATTTGTTAATCACTGCTATGTTACTTAATAATAATAATAATAATAATAATGAAAAAAAAACAACAACAACAGTACTCGTATAGTTTACACAAGGTTTTTCTTTTCTGGTCTTATATTTACCAAACTTCTCATAGCCGGGAAGCGGAATGACCACTGATGCTTTGTGATCCTTCTAATCCTATATATTTCATCATGTCATATTTACTTCTAAAACTTTAATTTGATAATATTTTATTTCAGTGTGACAGCCACAATACTTTACAAGAAGCAAAATTACATATGTAGGTCATGACGTCAGCACTGCATTTCTAAACTTGAGTCAGAACTTGTGGAGGATTTCTGTCCAAATCATTTCTGGGGTTGTCGTACAGAAAAAGCAAGTAACAGTATTACTGTTAAAAAACTGATGAGTGAGCAGAGAAATGCAAGCCACCAGATGAGACTGTAATGCCCCAGGAAGAACATTGTGTACTGCATTATGCATAAGTTACAAACTAGTTTGCATGCATGAGAATGGCACAGCATTGTTCATACTAACATTTAACTTTGAACATGTTCTCTGACATATGCTTTACATAAACAATTATTATTTATATCTATAATCTGAAAATCATAAAAGTACATTCAAAAAATGACATTAACATTTAAGATTAGCTTGCTCTCTTCAACAAAAAAACACAGACACACAAAAAAGAATGACACTCAATTCATCAAAAATAAAAATGAAGCACTTTAAATTCTGTGAATCAAATCTTAAGAACAGGAACGTGAGCTATGTAAAATCATTTAAAACATATATTTCAGGGATTACTCACACTTGCATGTTCTGATTGTTAGAAAGGGAAGTGAAATAGTGTGACAAATGAGGCATTTCCTTGGTGTAGCAAATAGAATATACCAATGTCATCACAGACCATTTACGGACAGAGGTGCCTCTGGGCAACAGTTGTTAGGCCTGGGAAAATACTCTGTATGTCCTTTTGCCTCTTTTCCATAAATCATTTATAGTAATTTTTGCGGATTCTGTATTAATATCTGACAACTGAAATTTCTAGAATGCACCCAGAAATGACATAGCGAAACACACTGCATGATGCACCACATCATTCAGCTGCAACTACTACATAGTTGGGTAAATATGTACAATGTATACCGTATAAAAACTGAAATCTAAGGATCTCGTAATATCTTATGTGTGTGTTTGTTTTTTTACTAGTTCAGCTTTTCAGTATTTCATTGGCTAGAAACTGCTCTTTGTATGTGCAATTTCTATAACATATTTATAAAATTTACAAAGAAAAATTATTCATGATGGGAAAACTCTGTGAAGAACCCTATATGTGATTGAAGTTTAGGTAAGATACAGTGTAGTATCACTGGAACACAGGAGTTTATTTCCAATAACGAATAATGAAACATTTCCGTGTGTAATTTTGGGATAACCCTAACCCATTTAACTTTGAACATGTTCTCTGACATATGCTTTACATAAACAATTATTATTTATATCTATAATCTGACAATCATAAAAGTACATTCAAAAAATGACATTAACATTTAAGATTAGTTTGCTCTCTTCAACAAAAAAACACAGACACACAAAAAAGAATGACACTCAATTCATCAAAAATAAAAATGAAGCACTTTAAAGGGGTCATATGATGTAATTTCATTTTTTCCTTTCTCTTTGGAGTTGTAAAATCATTTAAAACATATATTTCAGGGATTACTCACACTTGCATGTTCTGATTGTTAGAAAGGGAAGTGAAATAGTGTGACAAATGAGGCATTTCCTTGGTGTAGCAAATAGAATATACCAATGTCATCACAGACCATTTACGGACAGAGGTGCCTCTGGGCAACAGTTGTTAGGCCTGGGAAAATACTCTGTATGTCCTTTTGCCTCTTTTCCATAAATCATTTATAGTAATTTTTGCGGATTCTGTATTAATATCTGACAACTGAAATTTCTAGAATGCACCCAGAAATGACATAGCGAAACACACTGCATGATGCACCACATCATTCAGCTGCAACTACTACATAGTTGGGTAAATATGTACAATGTATACCGTATAAAAACTGAAATCTAAGGATCTCGTAATATCTTATGTGTGTGTTTGTTTTTTTACTAGTTCAGCTTTTCAGTATTTCATTGGCTAGAAACTGCTCTTTGTATGTGCAATTTCTATAACATATTTATAAAATTTACAAAGAAAAATTATTCATGATGGGAAAACTCTGTGAAGAACCCTATATGTGATTGAAGTTTAGGTAAGATACAGTGTAGTATCACTGGAACACAGGAGTTTATTTCCAATAACGAATAATGAAACATTTCCGTGTGTAATTTTGGGATAACCCTAACCCTACATTGCTTGATACTGATTGTGGTCAGGACTCAGTTCCCATTCTGAAATATGCAATTTCTTCTTTTTGAGCCATTGCTGTTGATTCACCCATGTGTCTAGAGTCACTGTTATATTGTATGAAACTTGCGTTTCAGCTCACAGACAGAATGTTGTAACAGAACAAGGCTGTAAGTTCATACACTTTTGACATCAATTGCAGAAATAATTTGTTTTATGTAGACATGACAATGTAAACGGACTAATTATCTAAGCCTATTGTTATTAAATAAAGATCAGTTTTCAGACAAGTTAAGCAGAATTCTCATTATGACACATCTTTATTCTCGGATTACACAGATACTGGAAGAACACGGCAGAGCCACATTTAAGTTTTTTGTTGTTGTAGAAATAGTTTTAGACTGCTGGACCACATAAACGGAAGCAAAAGCAGCGAAATAAACTTCGACCTGAATCACCATAGGCAACGCGTTAAGTTTGCATGCCACAACCGGAAACAGAATCACGCTGCTCGCTCCCCTCCGACCAATAGGATTGTGCAAAGCGTCCTAAGCGAATGTCACATCCGGTCTGAACAGCCGGCAGGATTGAAGGAAGAATCTGGAGTATCCCCCTACTTGTGTCGTTTATCTTTAAACACTTTTGACTTGATTTATTCGTCCTTTCACACAATGACTTTCGATGTGCGGAGGTGAGTAGAGGTTTGAAGCGAGTTGGTCGTGGGCTTGTGTTTTTTCTTTAGTGCATGAATCAAACACGTCCACCATAGACACAATGGAAGTGTTTCAAAACCTAGTGAGCTACCTACCTAGTATTTTTCTTTTTTATTGGACGTTCGGAGCGCGTCTGTCATGCACTAAACTGCTGTCTAAGCTGCTCACTAGGTTTTAAGACAGCCAGCGATTCCTTAAACTACAACAGATTGCCCAGCTTGTATTGTGAAAACACTTTTACAACCATTTCTTTTTTGTCTGAATGTTCTGTAAACCTCATTTAAGAGCACCAGACCGCTCTTGATAAATATTAATGGAAAAACTGAGCAGGATGCTGTCAGCAGCTCTTGGCAAAACTGCATGGAGCATTTCATTTAGCTGCATTTGTGCATGTCTCCTTATTTAGTAGCATCC